TCTTCTATCTTCTCTCTTTTCTCTTTTTCTCTCTTCTGTCTTCTCTCTTCTCTCTTCTGTCTTCTCTCTCTTACATTTTCTCTTTTCTCTTTTCTCTTCTCTCTTCTCTCTTATGTCTTCTCTCTTCTCTCTTTTCTCTTCTCTCTCTTCTCTCTTTTCTCTTTTCTCTTTTCTCTTTTCTCTTTTCTCTTTTCTCTTCTCTCTTTTCTCTTTTCTCTTCTCCTCTCTCTTTTCTCTTTCTCTCTCCTCTCGCTCCTCTTTTCTCTTCTCTCTCTCCTTTTTCTCTTTCTCTCTCCTCTCTCTCTCTCCCTTTTCTCTCTTCTCCTTTTTCTCTCTTCTCCTTTTTCTCTCTTCTCCTTTTTCTCTCTTCTCCTTTTTCTCTCTTCTCCTTTTTCTCTCTTCTCCCTTTTCTCTCTTCTCCTTTTCTCTCTTCTCCCTTTTCTCTCTCTTCTCCCTCTTTTCTCTTCTCTTTTTTCTCTCTCTCTCTTTTTCTTTTCTCTTTTTTCTCCTCTCTCTTTTCTTTTCTCTTTTTTCTCCTCTCTCTTTTCTTTTCTCTTTTTTCTCCTCTCTTCTCTTTTCTCTTTTTTCTCCTTTCTTCTCTTTTCTTTCTCTCTTTTCTCTTCTCTTTTCTTTTCTCTTTTTTCTCCTTTCTCTTCTCTTTTCTCTTCTCTTTACTCTCTTCTCTCTTTCTCTCTTTCTTCTCTCTTTTCTCTCTTCTCTCTCTCTTCTCTCTCTTCTCTCTTTTCTCTCCTCTCTTCTTTTCATCTATCTATCTCTCTCTCTCTCCCCTCAGAGATAAACAAAGTAAATCAAGCAAAATGGTGCTACATTGGCCACTGATATTAGCTTTAAAAAAAAAAAAAAATCCACCAAGTTCAGGTTCACTTGTCTAGGTGCTAACCCACCCATAATTTAACATAAACCACGTGTTATCGATTATGCTACAAGTAAAACATAACCAGCTTTCATCATACACTTATTTCAGTGGCTATGCTTGTACCAGTTATTAAATGAATCAATGTTTTATAAGAATATTCTCTTGGACAAACACTGTAAAAATGTTATTTTATTCTCTTGTCCAAGAGAATATTCTTATAAAACATTGATTCATTTTCTGAAGGACTAATACTGTTTTTTTGTGTCGTCGTGGTTTGTTAACATAATAGTAGGATTTAGGTGTCTCTTTGTTAAATGCACTGGGGCATTGATGTGTTCTGCCGTCCTTTTATTTTGGAGAGGAAAGTGGTATAACAATAAGCAGTGTGATTAAAAAAACTTTATTCAAACATGCCTGACAAGCGTTGTCCTCTGAGACCATTCAATCATACCAGATTGTCTTCATGCTGTATTTCCCATAGGTTCCTGTTATAGTCCAAAGCAGCTGATCCTCAAGGACTAACATTTTCTAATTAATCTCTTATATTAAGTGACGATAATGAATTCACAGAGAAAAGATTTAAGGAAAAGGTTCTGATTAAAAAAATGAATTGAAAATAATATATATTTGAAAGAACAATTGATACTAAACTCTTGTCTTCTTTACCCTCTATTTGTCCAGGTTCTTGCTTACACTGAAGGCCTCCATGGGAAATGGATGTTCAGCGAGATTCGGGCTGTCTTCTCCAGGCGCTATCTCTTACAGAACACAGCACTGGAAGTGTTTATGGCCAACCGAAGTGAGTTGCACCATTTTTAAAACGAATATTTTGCTGTTAATTGTGTTTGTTTGAGCCTTGCATCACATAAAATGAAGATGATTAAGCTTCGATCTCTAGCACATATGACAAGGGTTATCATGGAGGCTTAAAAGAAGACGTCTAGAATTATCCAAAGAAAAGATTACCTATGGCAGCAAATTGTCCCTCTTATTTCTGGATACTTTGTTAAATGAAAGTGCTGCAGGCAACAAGAACACACAGTCACTTGCTATTATAAGGCCCAGTGTCAGTGTCACATTGTGGAACACAGCTGCTCAGTGCAAATAATTTCAACAGTTCACCATAGGAAAGCCTGGTATATACAGTAAGTTTTTTTTTCATTCAACCCATTGGGCTGAATGAAGAAAAAAACTGAGCAGCTTGCGGGGAGGTCTCTGTACCAACTATTCAATGTTCATACAACCATCTCTCGGTTGAGCTATTGTATTTAACAGGAGGCAGACTGCCCCCTGCCAGAACCACACACCCGGTTAGCGATCACAGCCATTGGCTGAGAGAAGCTGATCAGATGCCGATTGGCTGCTGGTTTTCCAGGTTGTTTGTTTGATAGAAGCTGATCTCACGACCAGCTTCTGTCGAATAAGGACCTGTAGGCACAGGCTGAATGTCAACCGGTATCTACTATACTGGCTGATTTCATCTGAATGTCCATGCACTGTCAACTTATGGAACCAAGGAAGGACTTGGAACTTGTGGCCTAGGAGACCAACACAACCATCTGGATTTTTCATGTTTTTAATTTTTCAGTTTCTGGTAGGATGAAGAATGTCCAACACACAATGTGTGCCACACTGATCAGTGTGTGGGAGCGATGAAATGTGGGTTTAATCTTAAAGCGATATTAACCCCTTGACGCTGTCTACACACAAATTAGCAGACTCACAGAACTGGGCTTTTTTCCGTGGGGCCGCTCCGCTAATTTGCGTACCTGCCGCACAGCGCGCCCCCAGCACAAAGACCGGGGTGTCACTGAGAGCCCTAAATCTTATTCTAACAATTGGGAACCGGAACTCCCGATTCTGGGTCACCTGATCACTGTGATAGCTTCTGATTGGCTATCACAGTGATCAGTCACTGTTAAGCCTGCGTCCCTTGTTTTCTCTCTCTGAATGGAGGAGAGAGATGCATTGTATCCTTCTCTGTCCTTTCAGAGAGAAAAAACAAGTGTGTGTAAAAAATAAATTAAATAAAAATAATAATAAAAAAATTAATAAAAATACTTAAATCGAGGTTTGATCTAGGTCTGTGCCAGAGTTAGTGTTTGGGTCAGGTCAAGGATCAGGGTCAGTTTTTTTTTTAATTTTTAAATTAGTATCAGTGTCAGTTAGTGGCAGGATAAATAAAAAATGAAAAAGCAAATTGTGCACTATTGTTTCTGGGCTGTACTATGGGTACAATCAACAACTAACATACACACATGTAGTATCGCTGCGATCAGCAGGAGAAGGAGAAATTAGTTTGGGTTGTTCTTTGGTGGTAGGTTATGGTAGTAGCAAGAAATATACAGCTAAATTAAAAAAAAGGGTTTTTTTTTGCTATTTTGGGCCAGTTTTCCTTTGGTAATAAACAAATATCAGGAAATATCCATTATCATTTACCACCCAATGAAAACCCAATTTGTCCTGAAAAAAAAACAAGGTATAAGCCAGCTGGATACACAGTAGTGTGATGATAGTATGGTTTTGCTAACACATGTTAAAGTTGCAAAATTGTGCTTAGGCGTTAAGATTTGTTTTACCCTTAGGCATGAAGGGGTTAAAGTAATTTTTAAGTTTTTTATAAATCATATACCAATAACATAGCTTACATGCATTTGGTGAATGTATTTTTATTATATTTTTCCTTTTGAAATTGCCCCCCAGCAGCACTGCCACATTTCTGTTATATTTGTGCCCCCCTGTACTGCTGGGACTTAGAGTCCCTTAGCAGTCTCCTCTGATTGTATGCTCCTGTTTATAAACTACAGCTGTACATGCATTTGTTCAGAGTGCCACACACAGGCTGTGAGAGTGGGACACAGAACCACTGAAGGCTATTGCATGTGTCCTTGTGGCTGCCTGTGTGTGCAGTGATTTGTATGGCTGCACTTATAGTTGTGGTTTCAAGTAGAAGCATACATGTAGAGGAGGCTCCTACTGGACTCCATAAGTCCTAGTGGCAGACAGGGAGAGCAGAAATAAAGGGAGTATGGCAGTGATGCTGTGGGGCAGTTCCAAAAGAAAAAAAATACAATAAAAACAATTTTTTTTTGTTATTTGATTTTTGAAATGAAAAATCAACTTTAATATCATGTTAAAACTAAACCTGCATTTTGACATATAATTAGACACAAATATAATGTGGGTCTGGCAGTAGTGCCAGAGGGCAATTTGAAATGGAAAAATATCATAAAAAACAAATGCATATAAATTTATGTTGTTAGTATCCGATTTATGAAATTAAAAATCAACTTTAATATCATTTTAAGACTAAACCCACGTTTCATCCTGTAATTGGACACAAATATAACAGGAGTATGGCAGTGCAGTCAAGGATAGTTTGAACAGAAAAATCAAGAAATGAAAAAACAAAAACAAAAAGCAAACAAACAGCAAATGCATATACGTTAATATTCGTATCTGGTTATGAAAAAAAATGGCTTTAAAATAATTTTAAAAAACATGGTTTATTGAAGCCTACATTTTCACATATATATTTACAGAATGGCTACAAACATAATAGAGAATCCTCTAAATAAATATCTCACAATCATCATAAACAATCCTTAGCTTGTCCAGCCAAAGATTTTTGGATTTTTGTCTTTATTTTTGTCTTTGTTGCTAGTTGGGTTTATATACTCCTCACTTCCTGCCTAATGAAATTGTTATCAGCGGGACAGGAAGTCAGGGAAAATTTATTGGTTGGGTTTTTTTTTAACCACCTCCTGCCCGTCATATAGTAATATGACGGGCGCAAGGTGGTTCTCTCGTTCTGGGAGGACGCCATATGACGTCCTCCCATTCTCACCGCGCATGCGCGGCTCAGGAAGCGCGCAGCGCGGCGATCAGCGGCGCGCCGTGTCCCTCAGACACAGCGGATCACCGATCACGGAAAGAGCCGAAGATGTCGGCTCGGTCATGTGATCAGCTGTGTCCAATCACAGTTGATAACATGTAAACAGGGAAATGCCGGTTATAGGCATTTCTCTCCTCTCGAGCTGTCAAGCTGACAGCTCGAGAGGAGAGGAGAGCCGGTAATCGGCTTTCCACGGAGGGGACATGTACACTGATCATCAGGGCACTGATGATCAGTGTAGCCCCAGCAGTGCCACCTGTCAGTGTCCATCAGTGTTCATCAGTGCCTCGTGCCAGTGCCCATCAGTGCCACATCAGTGCCCCATATCAGTGCCTACCAGTGCACATCAATGCCACATATCAGTGTCCATCTGAGCTGCCTTTCAGTGTCACCCATCAGTGCCAGTCAGTGCCACCTATCAATGCCAATCAGTGCCACCTATCAGTGCCGCCAATCAGTGCCAGTCAGTGCTGCCTATCAGTGCGCATCAGTGCCGCCTATCTGTGCCTGTCAGTGCCGCCTAACAGTGTCAGTCAGTGCCATCTATCAGTGCCAGTTAGTGCCAGTCAGTGCCACCTATCAGTGCTGCTGCCTATCAGTGCCATGTATCAGTGCTGCCTTTCAGTGCCCATGAGTGATGCCTATCAATGCCCATCAGTGCCACCTACCAGTGCCTCCTCGTCAGTGCCACCTATCAGTGTCCATCAGTGCAGCCTATCAGTGCCCATCACTGCAGCCTCATTAGTGCACATCAGTGAAGGAGAAAAATTACTTATTTACAAAATTTTATAACAAAAACTAAGAAAAAAATTTTTTTTTCAAACTTTTCAGTGGTTTTTGGTTTGTTTAAGAAAAAATAAAAAACCCAGAGTTGATAACATACCACCAAAATAAAGCTCTATCTGTCACAAAAAAATGATAAAAATTTCATATGGGTACAGTGTTACATGACCGCGCAATTGTCATTCAAAGTGTGACAGCGCTGAAAGCTGGAAATTGGCCTGGGCAGGAAGGGGGTATAAGTGCCCTGTAGGCTAGCGGTTAACCTTTCCTATTTTATCCGAACTTGAAAAATGTTTTAGCTGGACATTCACTTTAACAAATGGGCACAGCACATTTCAAAGTTTTGTGTTCTTGCAGCAATTACTTCTTTGCAGATGTTCACATTCAGTCGTGTAACATCTCAGATCATAACAGTCAAGTACATTTTTGAAGACTTTTCTTCTGCCAGGCTCTGTGATCTTACAACAGGAGGCATATAACTTTATAAAGCCCTTTTCTTTTTCATTTGCTGTTAGAGTGAACAAAAAAAAATAGTGCTCCATAAAGTTTGGCGTGTGGGAAGTAAAGCCTGTGTCAGCCATTGTCCTACTTTTGTACATTATATTTGCCATTATACAGTAAAGGAAATAAGTATTTGATTCCCTTCTGATTTTGAATGTTTGCCCACTGAAATGCATGTCTAACAAATTATGCACTAATTTACTTGTTCATTTCCTAGATTGTAAGCTTGAAGGAGCAGGGCCCTCAATCCCCTCATGTTTTGCATTGTATTGGTATTGTTCTGTCACATGCTCTGTCCCCCTTTGTAATGTACAGCGCTGAGCGAACTATTGGCGCTTTATAAATACTGTATAATAATAATAATAATAATGTTCATGAGGGAAATAAGTATTTGATCCTCTATCATTCAGCAGGATTTCTGGCTACCAGGTGTCTTTCATACAGGTAACAAGCTGAGATTAAAAACAGTCTCTTAAAGGGAGTGCTGCTAATCTTATTTTGTTACCTGTATAAAAGACACCTGTCCACAGGAGCAATCAAATCAAACAATCAGATTCCAAACTCTCCACCATGGCAAAGACCAAAGAGCTGTCCAAAGATGTCAGGGACAATATTATAGACCTACACAAGGCTGGACTGGGCTCCAAAACTATCGCCAAGCAGCTTGGTGAGAAGGTGGAGCAAGGAATAAATATCTATTCATCACCCTCTGGATGAAAAAATCAATGTGGGTGGGTTTGGGGGCAGCAACTGCATGGTTATATTTTACACCAGCTGAGAATACAGCTTTAAAAAAGTGTTATAGTGACATACACAGAATATTTTTCACTAGTGTATCCTCTGCAACCTGTAAGCATTAACAGAATATTTGGCCCTTATCACCATTAGGGTAGTGCACTAAGAGCTATCTGCAGGCATGAAGATGTTCGGCAATACTCTTTTGGCAATGCATTCTATTGGACTTCTAAATGATGGCCTTCTGTAGGCAGTTTGTATCATAGATGCAATCAGGTTCTCACTTTGCAATACAGGTGCATGAAAGGAACAATCTAACTGGATGCTTTTGAGCAATCAAGCTGTTTGAAACAGTTTTCCCAAACCTGGAATTTACCCTTTAATAAAAAATAAAAAAAAACCTAGCATTTGTGGCATTGTTATCATGTTGTTTATTTGTAAATACATATATATTACACATACAGTATATTGTATACAGCTAACAACATATCTGGAAAATAAACTGGCATGCCTTCTCACTATTACCTATAATATGTCTGTGTATAAAGTAAAGAAAACTTTGCCATTATGTTCACATCTGCAAATTCCTGTAGACTGCTGTGAAGACCTGAAAAACTGTGGTGCTCTTATACTGCAAATAAATTGTTTGCCAAGAAAGAAAATATTCCTGCGCCAATAAAAAACTAATAATGATCTAAATTGCTGCTGTGCAATGTGAAAACACAAACAGTGAGTGGAACGCACACCGAGTGGTGCGTTCCAGCAGCCATTTTTTGGGATCTGTGCTGGTTTCTTTGTTGATCCTCTGTTCCATCCTTTTTTATGTGATTTTGATGGCATTTGATGTGAGAATCCTGGATTATGGGGCTGTGAGCTGGTCGTTATCATCTGGCTGGTATTGGTTCAATAAATGTGCCTTTTACAAGTTGGTAAAATGTGAGTGGCCTGGATTTTGTTTTTTTTATCTATACTATTGATCTGGCAATATTACACTATATAAGATTTTTTCCGTGGTGACACGGTGGAGCGGATTCATAGGGCTGTGGTGGGGACCTGAAAGAAGATCATAACCTGGCGGTGCAAGGATACTATAGAGCTGATAAAAAAGAGGGTTTAGGATCCCTAAAAATCCCTAAAGGCTTCTCATTCACCATTATCTGGTGAGTGCAATTGATGTTGGTGTGCACGGGTGAAAGGTGGAAGCTTTTTTGATCTAAAGATTGTTTGGAATCTTCAGTCTTCATCACACACGTTCCTTTGGTGTTTATTATTTTGGTTCTGGAGAAGGATAAATTAATTATTATATGGGCATCATATATTTGTGAGCCTGAATATTTGTTTAGAGGTCTATTTTTGCGCTGTTTTATTTTAATTGTTTGCCAACCCTGCCTTGTGTTTCTTCACAGTTGGCCATTGTGTATGCTCATCAGAGATTTGATGAGCTACAACCAGCGATGATAGAAGCTGCTTTCTGTTTATCAGAGCATTACAGTTTTCATGGCTCCTAGAGTACTGTACAGTAATTTGAAGTTGACACTGAGGCACCTAGAAGTGCTAAGAGTATAAATGCAATGTTACTAGGTTTTTTTAAGCCAAGAGGTGTCTTGGTCCACAACTTTGCTGTAGTGCACATCCACCACACTAGTACTACGTAAATCTCAGCCTGACTATAGTTGCATAGTTTCGCTCTCTAACCTCTATTTGCCCCTTGTCATTAATAAGTGAAGGGTTAAGATCATGCCACTTTACCCCAGCTATTATTTGAGCAGTGCTGGTGTGTAGGGGTGGAGTGACATGGTTCCATCTTGTGTGATAGCCAACAGTAGCTGACCAGGAGCTAGGGGGAACATCAGTACTTCACTTGTCACTTGTTCAATCCTAGAGCAGCTGGTGTGTGGTTCAAGAAAGACAAGAGTTAGGGAACCACTACCCTCCCAGCTTGACAGCCAAACTAAGATGGGGCATTGCATCTCCTTTGCAGGAGAGTTGCAGCCCGGACAGTATCAATCCGTAGGACCCAGGTACATTTTCAATTCCTTTCCTTCACATCTCTTTAATTCCACCTTTGCAAAAACAGAGCTTCACCTCAGTGCTATGCAAAAACAGATATTTGCAGAAAATAGCCCTTTTTTCTGTGGAACAAAAAAATTCTGCGGAGCGATTGTATTATAAACATATGTACAAAGCTGTATTTTTTTTATATATTTCTTTTTATATGTTGGTCTGACGGTCTGTTTCAAACTTTTTCCCAAAGCTTCAGTCATGTTTAATTTTCCTGACCAAGCCACCGTGAAGAAAGTGGTATACAGTTTACCTCGTGTAGGCGTTGGCACCAGCTATGGCTTACCTCAAGCCAGGTAGGTCGTTTATAAAAATTGCCATTGTCTTCATGTTTGCAATGTTTTATAGTAAATTACAAAAAAAAGGCCAATGCTGTAGATTTACTAAAACTGGACCACTCAGAATCTGGTGCAGCTGCGCATGGTAGCCTATCAGCTTCTAACTTCAGCTTGTTCAAATAAGATTTGGCAATGAAGCCTGGAAGCTTTATGGTTTCTATGCAGAGCTGCACCAGATTTTGCACTCTCCAGTGTTTAGTAAATAACCCCCAAGAAGTCTTATGTGTATCTAAAATTGACAAGTTACATATGATTTTGCCCAAGTTATACTCATCCCTTTAAATAGAATCTTAAAGCCGAACTCCAAGCATGTTCTGTTAATATTAAACTGCCTGTATGAGGTTTTGCAGCAATCACTAGGTTCTGACAGAATAAGAAAAAAAAATCAGGGTAAAAAAAAATAGCAAAGCAGGGAGATCATTAAAGAAATATTTGCACCAAGGCTGCACTAATTCTGAAAGCACGCTGCTCTTGAGCATCTCTTGTCGATCTCATATATTTTGGATGTAAAGACATTTCTGACAACTGGCTCGTAGATCATGGGAGCTGTTCAGACAAAGCCAGAGCTGTCAATCAAACAGTCCATGATGCTCATCAAGCACACATCCTCCTTCCCTGTCCCAGATGTTACTGATGTCATTCATCTGAGCTGGTGACATGCATTAATCATGCAAGTATAACATCCTGTATCTTGTACAATCCTTCTAATTAGGTGGGGAATTGTTATCTTAAAAGGGCTTGTGTATAAAATAGGTTGAAAATAATGTACAAGACTTGGTAGATAGAATAAGAAGGTTTTTTTCACTTGCTTTGGGTGAAATTTGTGTATGAATTGGTGTTATAAATATCCAACCAAGCCACCTATTGGCTGTCTTTACTATTGATAAAGATGTGCTAATTTACATATGTGACTGCTGCATTACAAATTTCTTCTGTAAAAAAAAAAAAAAAATATATATATATATATATATATATATATATATATATATATATATTATCTTTTTTATACGCACACACACTATAGTGCCAAAAGTATTGGGACACCTTTCCAAATAATTGGATTCAGGTGTTCCAATCACCTCCATGGCCACAGGTGTATAAAATCAAGCACCTATGCATGCAGACTGCTTCTACAAACATTTGTGATAGAATGGGTCACTTTCAGGAGCTCAGTGAATTCAAGTGTGGTACTGTGATAGGTTGCCACCTGTGCAATAATTCGATCCATAAAATTTACTAACAGTCCACGGTCAACTGTTAGTGGTATTTTAACAACTGGGAACAACAGCAACTCAGCCACAAAGTGGTAGGCCATAAAACAATGACAGAGCCAGGGTTAGCTCATGTTGAAGCGTACAGTGCGCAGAATTCGCCAATGGTCTGCAGAGTCAATAGCTAAAGACCTCCAAACTTCATTTGGCCTTCAGATTAGCACAGCAACA